ATCTGAACCGATTTTCACGAAATTTAACACACATCTTTGCAATCGGATGGAACTATATATGGGAGCTATATCTAAATCTGAACCGATTTTCACGAAACTTAACACACATCATTCTAGATTTTATTCAGTACGCTATGCCAAAATTCGTGCAAATCTAATGATTTTCAGGGACTTTGGTGCACCATTTACCTAAAATCGGGCGAAACTATAAAAAAAGGCTATATCTAAATTGAACCGATTTTCTCCAATTTCAATAGGGTTCGTCCTTGGTCCAAACCTATGGGCTGTGCCAACTTTCATCCAATTCGGATAATAAATGCGGACAGACGGACATGCAATCGACTCAGAATGTGATTCTATGCATATTCTCAAAAGAAACCATGGGTCTATCTCGATTCCTTTTGCCTGTTAAGAACATATGCACAAATACATAATACCCAGTACCACAGTGTGGTGAAGGGTGTAAAAAGTCATTGCTTTAACTTACCCATGGTTTCATATTGTATATATATATACATATATCGTGGTTTATTGTACTTTCAAGACTCCTGTAACTAATTTAACATATCTTATTTTGAAGCTATTTTAAAACAGAAACCATTTTGACCATTTTAATCGTGCATACCCAAAACGGAAAAATGTACCAATTTTTAACTTAAAACAAATGAGGCATTGATCATAGAATTCGAGGAACATTTGATGTTATTATTTACAATTCAGTGAATCGATTGCATTTCTTTTTATGCTGAGACGCTGAGACATTTCATCTAATCATATTAAAAACTCATCAAAATATGATACTGGGATACCATACTGGGATACCTACCATTAAGCAAAACACTGACTTCATTTTTATGCATTAATCAGACTTTATATTTCTTGAGATAATAATTTGTAACAAAATGCTTGCCAGGTAGTCCCCTGGAGTCATATGTTTTCAATATTTTCATAAATTTGCCTTTGACAGCATTCAGCTTTCAAAATTTAAATGAAAATATCTTCCTTCGAAATGTACAGATATCATGTGTTGAGTGGCAAAAATTGATACAACATTTAATCTAAAACTAATAAATAATACAAATCTTATCAATAAATAAAAATTGTAACAACCATGTTTGTATCTTGAGAGCAATGACAAGCTTTAGAAAATATATTTTGTAAAATTTAGTGAAGATATGCCAATCGATACACATACAATTTAATGGAATTTATTTTTCATTTTATTGCAAATTGATATATTGTATTAAAAAGGGTTGCCATTATCAATTTCTCAAATGAGACTACCTTCCATAATTATGCCATGCTATATGTTGAAAAGACTTCATTGACAAAAAACTATATATCGGCCTAATAAAATTTTACACAGAGACAACTGGCAATATTGTAGAACACAATTCATATTTAGTCATAAGATTTTTAGTTATTTGATTTTAAATAAATAATAAACCGACTACTGGTACATGCCGAAAGTAGGAGCTTTACACAAAGTAACAATTTATTTAAGATTTGTAAATCTAATATTACACATCGTAATTGCAGTTCTATCCAGAAGATTGGACCCTTTGGCTTACTTCTTGTGTTATCTCTCAACAAAGGATCAACTTTTTAAATTGCATAAAGAGTATGTGATGGGATGTGACCCGCAAACCAAAGTGACATAAAAAGGTCATACGGCAATACCGACTGACATTTTTACTTGCATTAAAAAAAAAGACATGCGATTTTTTTTATCGCAAACCATAATAAATTTATAATGATTTGGAAATAATTCTTTAATTGTTGGTCGAGAAATACTGCACCGATTTATAAGTTTCTTAAAGAAATGCTATATTTCATTGTTAACCAGTAAGAAAAGATCAAAAGTCGGACGGAGCCAACTATATGATACCCTTCACCACTTTGGATACATCAAAGAGATGCTAATATAATGTAGATAGAACAGACAATAATCTTTATTGGACCATTAAAATGGAATGGGGTGAAACTAAATGTGTGATCCACATAGATATTTGAACCAATTAAAAACCCATACACATATCATTCTGAAATCTGTGAAAAATTGTATGCCAATCGGATTCTTTTGTGTACTATTTGTATGAAATAAAGCAAAATAATGTATGTGGAGCTATATGCAAATCTGGACCTAATTGAGCAACCGTGACATATACCGTTTGGTATGCTGCAGCACAGAGCGCTGTCCACAATTTTATCTCGTAGGCTCCTCGGTGCACCATTTACCAAAAATCGGACCAAACTTTATATGGGAGCTCTACCTAAATCTGAACAGATTTTCACAAAACATCGTATACATTAATATGGATCTATCTCAAAACGCTGTGCCAAATTTTGTACTAATCGGACAGTCCTTGGGAGTTTGGTGCACTATTTAACAAAAATCGGTACAGGGGAGCTATATCCAAATCTAAACGGATTTTCACAAAACTTCGTTTACATCAATGTGGATTTTATTTTAATACGCTCTGCAAAATTTTGTCTCAATAGAAATAAATAAATATTGAAAGTTTGGTGCACAATTTACCTAAAATCGGACGAAACTATATATAGAAGCTATATCTGAATCGGAACCGATTTTCACGAAACATTTTGGTATATTTAATTAGAACAAAGCTTCTTCTTCGCATTATTTGTTATTTATTGATATCATTTATTTTTAGTGTAAAATAAAGTGTCATTTCATTGTACAACAAAAAATTAGAAATAGTTGAAAAAATTGAGAAAAAACAAATCTGCAGCGACGTTTATTGTGTAAAAATTATTTGTTCAACAGGTTTTTATGTTTCAAATGATTTTTTTTTTTTTGGTTTTCTTTCAAATATACAAATATTGCAAAAATTGAACAGAAACATAATGAAGATTTTCTTTAAATATCGATATATTGTTTGATTGTCATTGACAATCGAAATATTCTTACTGGTTTTAAAATTAAAAGTGTGTTAATCTATACTTCTTTCTTTACATTATCGCATTTATTGTATCATTTTTCAACACTTTTAAAACTCCAATTGAACAGTGAATTTATACAATTTGAGGGTGTCCGGAGCATAGACTGTATTTTCATTAATGTTAATGACGTTTTTTCGAATAAAAGCACTGTATTTATTATATACATTCATTTGAACACAACTCATATTTGTAATCCAGTTAATTTCCAAACCAACAATGCGCATTGGTTTGTACCTTCGTGCATACTACTTACATATGTACATTTGTGCATATGTATACGGCTTTGTTTATTACACCGTGATTGAATTGAATTATGCTTTCATTTAAAATGTATTTTAAACGCAATTGACGTTGTAAATGGAAACACGATTTACCCATTAGTACGACTCCATACATTGCACACCACATGCAAAACAACAACAACTAAAAATAAGCAAAACAAAAAGTGTAACAATGAACATCAAATACCCACCGCCAACAATAAAATTCAAAACACAAACAATCCAAAAGCCGTCAAATTACGATGCAAGACCAGGCGAACTACTGCTACGCTTATCTGGGGTTCTACGTAGGCATTGTGCATTGGTCGAAATACATAAGGTGCCATGCTCCGCCTCTTTCACTCACTTCAATGTGTGTATGAGAATGTGGCCCAACAACAAAATATACACTCTCGCAAATATACTCTCAAACTTGCTCTCCCGATGTATATAAGACGGTAAACAACACCATAGTCAACACCACCATTGACATCGGGTAGACACACACACACACACTACATATTTATGCTTACGCCTGAATGTATTCAATTGTCATTGTCACTGCATTGTGGGGACCACTAGCATCTCATGCAGAAACATATCTCCGCGACTATATATGCCATAGGAGAACTGAGAGTTATGTGTGTGAGTAGTCCATGGTGTTAGCGTAGTGGTGGTGGTGGTGTAATGGATTATTCGGGTAGCGTGAAGTATGGGGAAATGTGTGGGCGCCATTTATCACCTCTCGCTCATTCCGTGTGTATGTTTGTGTACAATTCTTGTCTGCTCTCATGCTACGCTTATTCTCTTTCGTTTTTTTCTGTTGTTTTTGTGTTGATTTCGGTTGCCCACATTGGCCACATACTGTGGACCCAATACTCAAACACACGCTCAAACATACATATCTGCTGGTTTCACAAAGTAAGCGGTGAGATTGGGTGTGTGTCTGCTGCTCTGAATCTGGTTCCGGCAAGCTGTCCCAATCCCATTGCGCCGAACAATCACAAGAATGTTAACTAATGATGATGTGATGGTCGTAGCACCACCAGTCTTGGCCTGTCGTTCGTAAGCGTAAGACGTTCGCCTGTTGTGTTCTCGTTAGTTGTTGTTATTGCTGTACTGTATGCAGCACTGGCGCACTCGTTCCAACCGCGTTGGCCGCTGTTCATTTGTTTTGCTCGGCACGGCACCTCTGGCGTCTGTTGTTTGTGTGTTGGTGTTTCGAAGACATATCTGCTTCAATGAATCATAACGACACACTAAATGCCTTCAAGAGTCCCATCCAAGAGCCATTATCGTCGTCATTATTCAAGCAGTCATTATCTGTAACAACGGTTCTGCTTTGTGTGCTCTGTGATTCTAGTAACGCCTTTTAAGGAGGCGTGCGTGTGTTTGTGTATGTGTTTCTGTTGTGCAGCATTGTGGCGGTTACAGTTTGGTTCAATTCGATTCGGGCTTAAGTATACAACTTTAGTTAATCATTGGTGCCCATACTAAATGGATGTCATCAAGCGATTCGTTATAAAGCAATTACAATAAAACCAACCACAAAATAGAACAACATAAATTAGAACAAATTGTGAAAAATAGAACAATTGTGAAAAAAAAAATTTAAAAATAAAAAAACAGTGATAAAACAATTACAAAGTTAAATGAAATGAAATAAATATTGAATATGAATCTTTAAAAAAAAACAATACAATTAATAAAAATAATAAAAGACATTGAGTGTATAAACAAAACAAACAAAATTAATTGCTGTGTTTGAAGAAAGCCATGATGGCTTTAAAAATGTTATACCGAGGACCTAGTTCAAGACTTGAAAATCTTATAGAAAAAATCCAGGCTACCAAAGAGATTGTTAATGCTGGTAATTATGATATTTTAATAATAGCATTCTTTAGGTTTACTTTTTACCCGTCGCATATATTTTTATTAGAACTAAGTCCGAATTGATTTCGGATGTGACTGCCAAAAAATATAAAAGTTAAGAGAGGAAAACAATTAGGCCCTGATATAGAATATATGCTATGCTAAATTTGATGAGTATCATTTATTTCGTTAAAAATTCAACTCAAAATCAATTATGTATATTTAAAAAGTTTGAAATAAAAATAGTATCATACATATTAATTTCCAATCACCAATCATGTCCTTAGTCCCAATTTAGATTATGCAAGTTTATTTGCGTCAAGTCTGCAAGAGGAATAAAATTGGAGAAATTGCTCGTACAGGCAATTTTCTGGCAATTCGTTATGTGTATTTCGTGTCAGTAATTTAAAAAACCAATACCAATTTAGATATTTTTGATGAGGAAATTTTTGTCTGTTTTATTCATATTTCTATTATTTGCTTTAATGTTGTTTTTTTAATTTTTTTTTTCACAAAAAATACAAAATAAGCCCAAATTGCCTTGTATAGACGCATGAATCAAGTTCAAAAGGAGCGATAAGAATTTCCGCAATTAAACTTGCCTAATCTAAATCAGGACTTAGAGCTTTCACATTAATAAATATTTATTGAATAGAAGTCGTACGTATAATACAGTGTGTTCGCTTCATACGAACAATGTATTTGCAAAGATCTACGTACGGCCGGATAAAAAGTTCATCTGATTACTAAGTCTGCTGTCGATGTATTTGAAATAAATGAATAGGACTTAGATAGATATTAAACGAAAATATCCCTTCATTAAGTCCGGTTTTACATTAGGCGATTTTATTTGTCTCAATTCTGTATGTTGTAGGTGCACAGACTAACAATTGCTGCAAGTAAAATGGCAAAATGTAATTTGGGTATAACAATATAAATTGTAATTTTAAATAAGTTATTTCCAAATTGAAAATTGTGCTGTATTGTCAATATGAAAAATATCAAACAAAATTGGGTCATCCTTGATAAACTTGACATTAAACGTAATGTTATTTTTATTTAACTTTTGTTGTAAAAAATCTTTTGTTATTAGTTTATTCTGGTTTGTACGTGAATACATCTTTTTCCAGAAGCACTATATAATATGTAGATATTACCGCAATAATATATAATCAATCCCCCATGAGATTTTTTAATTATGTTTAAATGGTACCATTATCTATTTATTATCCGTTTTGAAAACTCTGAAATTACAGTATTTATTAATGTTTATGTAAGTACACCTAAGTCTGTTTTTACACGTTCTTTTTGTACACGGTTTTGATATAACACGATTTGAAAATTGAATATTTTTAATTTTTTTACACGATTTTATTCCATTTAGCACGATTTGCAATTTTATGTACTTAAATTTTTTTTATCAAATTTATTTTTTGCGAAGTATGTTCATATCACAATCAATGTCTTTTTTTACACGGTTTTTTTACACGGCTTCTTCTGGAACCAAGCTACCGTATAAAAACAGACTTAGGTGTATATAGTTCAGGGTTTACTATATAGCATCAGAATTATCATGCCTGAACCTAGAATGTCCCATTAGTTATGTGTGACCGAGGTACTCTTTAAAATGAATTCACTTGGTGTCACCTTCCTTTTAAAATAATACCAAAAAATTACAATACCACTCCCAGAAAACAGCCGTTATCGCAGTGAATTTATTTTAATTAATTTACTTTATTGTTGTATCTTGTACTATACTCTTCTAGCTTCAGGATTTATTTATTAATAAAATATTTAAGTTTTTAAATTGAATTTAGAATATTGAAGAAAAAATCTCTGGCGTCATCTGGGTTAAATAATTAGTTAACGATATGGCAAAATGGCAAAAAACAAGGTTTATTCATAAGGTTAACAGGGTGGCGAATTCGAAGTCTTCATTGACTGTCAAATTTATTGTTTGAAGAATAAATAAACAAAAAATATTTTTATTCGAACCAAAATATATGTGCACAGGTTGGTATTTCGCGATTAAAAAGTTGACAGCAAGAGAATACTAAAGCATGAATTCGCCTGCCTGTTTACCCTATGAATAAACCTTGGCAAAAAAATGAGCAAACTAATCAAAATTGAAATATTACAAATTTGTAATAAAGAAGCTCAAAATACACATATGTAAATTTTGAAGGGGAATGCATAAGATTGTTTTTTTTCAAAAAAATAAAAGTTTTTCCCAAGAATGTTGTTATTTTCAAGTGGAACTAAATTCATTAGAAGTAAATAAAAAAATTCTTAAAATATATTTTCTATATGTATGTACACAATACAATGGATTTAAATATATTAAAATTTTAATTGAAATTTAAATCATTTATTACAACAATATATACATATATAGTTGTTGAGTTGTTGCCTACCGTCTTGACAGTAAGGGTCACGATAAAACATTTTGTTTGAGTTGTAGCATTAATCTAAATTTTTATTAAATCAAGCATTTTGCTAATAAAATTAAGAAACTAATTAGCCCACCAGATTTAAACCTTCATGTATCCTTCAAAAAATTAACTTTCCATTTATTACAAAATCATTCCCTAATTGTAATTTATTTTATATCGTCTTGTTTATATTGACTGTTTTGAACTTTCTATCACAAACTGTTTCATAGGGTTACAAAAGTTCAGATTACAAACGGGAAAAGACAATAAACAAACGACAACAAATTCACAAAGACCTTTAACCCTATTCGACCATGTCAAAGAAGAAGAATCGAGTGGGGCGTTGAAAATAAACATCAATTAACACCATACAGATTGAGACGAATTCAAAACAACTAATTACATGATTTTAAAGCTGCTGAAAACGAACATTATATTGTAATCCGTAGGAAAGCTGCTGACAACGAACATTATATTGTAATCCGAAGGAAACGAGACTCATCACTTGATAGGCACTGTCCAGTTGCCAAAGAATCCCAGATCACCACATCATGCCAATTTACTCAGCATCGAGCACAAGACACAAGTAGCCGATGCCAATTAAGAGTAATTTGTGGTTTCCCTCGTTAAATGAGCAATAGCACTGCAATGAATTTTTGGGGCGACCAACCAAGAGTATCACCGAGAATTCTAATTAAAACGTTCAATTCGATGTGGAGGTTTAATCGTAAAAATAAGAATTATCACTTTGCATGACTACTCATTTGCTTGGCCGTGCAGCCAGACGGCTGCTGGCTGGCTGGCTTGATGATGTGATGACATTAAAGACTTTGTTGTATGGGCGGGAGGGTTGGTTTTGTTTGCCTTTTGGTTTGATTTCAAGACACGATCTTGGTGATCAAGCACAGCGGCAACAGCGACACTGACAAACGATCAGTTTCACACAAATGCCCCATAAGGCCAAGTGAACCGGGTGGATAGATAGTATCGGCTTGGTTTGGATTGGATTAATTAAATTAGTTCTAGTTGTTGTAAACGTCGTCAGCGTTAAAGCCCCCAGTAGAATAGTGCGTAACGACACATAGAACATCGTATCGTGGAACCATTTCCTGTAATTGAACGATAATAAGGATGTCCATAACACCACGCCACCCACGTAATTGTTACCATCACAGCTTTGCTTTTAGTGTTAAGATCTCAACCACGATGACTAAACATGCTGATGCAATTTGTTCTTATTACAAGGAAAAAAGTCACCAATGTTAAATGAACTCTTCCCTATTTTTCTATTTCAGATATGTATTCTACACACACCTCTTCCAGTTATTCACCTTCCATATCTGATGGTACCCTAACCCCGAATTCCTTGCATCATCACCAGCACTTGCCGGTGCCGTCGCATTTGGCCTTTGCCGCATCCAGTTACGATGATGAGGCTCTGCTGCAGTCACAACAATGTCTGTCAAAGCCAAAAACTAATGGAACCACAGATGCAGCCGACTATGACGGGGAGGAGAACTGCGAAAAAGCTAATAAGAATGACACAAACCCAAATGCCACAGAGGACGGCGTAGACAACGGTAGCACAAATGTTGCCGAAGGTGGTGATGGCAGAGACCAACAAGCTCAACAAAGCCATCAGCGTCAGCACCATCATCACCATCATCACCATCCAGGGCAACATCTTAAGCGTAATGGTCGTCATCATCGCTATGCTGAACATGCCTTGAGGATTCCTTCAAAATTACGTAAAATTGAAAGGGATTCAGCAGCGGTGGGCAACGGCAGTGGCACAACTGCACTCAAGTTTGATAAGTTGACAGGCGATGGCATTAAAAGTAGCAGTACCGGTGCCGACGGATCCTATCAATGTCAGTTCTGTGATAAATCATTTCCGCGACTTGGTTATCTAAAAAAGCATGAACAGGTGAGTCTAAAAAATCCCAAACCGTTTTTTGTTACATCGATCTATGTATGTAGAATATGTCGTTGTCACACTTGTCTATGTTGTGGCATGGGGGTTCATAATTAATATGCCTACTAACGAGCTTGACATTCCCATTACCAGAGGGATGAAAATTAGGTACATTCAAATTGAAGACAAAGGGTGCCCATTAAATTCACAAATTAGAAAATAATTAAGAAGCTTAAGAATGAAAGGTGATGGAAGGCTGTGTATAAAAACCTTTCGTTCATTAACAAGGGTCGAAAGAATTTCCATTCTATTTTATGTTAAAAAAACACAACAATAAAAACAAGTATTAAACAAGAAAACATTAAATGTGGTTTTAAGAATATGCTTAAATGCTCAAATTCTTTATGACATGTGGTACATCATATCATAAATTATTTGTAAATTAATATCTTTTAGCGGGTGTATTTAATGAGGTATGGAAATCTAAATAGTTTTGATTTTTAAAATTAACACCGTTTTATCCAATGATTGTTGTTAATGCCATGTACAGACGAGCGTTGTTCGCTCTCTCATTCGTTGTTCGACCCTTAATTATGAAGTAATTACTTAGTTCCCCATACAAAATTGTCTGAGCGAACACCGACTTTTGTACGTTGTTCAATTCGAATTACTCTCTGAATCACCAAGAATGTTGTCCCATCTCTAACAATTGAGAAAAATAAATTAATTTTGACAACATGAAAAAATTTTTAAATTTTTCAAACTTTTTCAGTAAAATTGAAAATGATGAATGAAAATTAACCAAAATTCCAGTTTTTATATATGCAGAAGGATGTAAATTTTGTTGTCTACATAATGCAATATGCATTTCTTTCCCCTTTGTTCTAATTACCGTACAAAACGAGAAACAAAAGTGGGGAAACCCAAACAAAAATTTCCAACTTTATAAAGGTGACATTTGAGTTGAGAAAATTTAAAAATGTATTGAAAACAACATTATTTTCAGCAAAAAATGGAAAACATGAATTAAAAGTAAATAGATAGGGGTTGATATTATAGTCAGGAGAAAGAGAATTATTTTTTCTATTTAGATCCGTATGTGATTCATGCAAATATGTTACAATTTTGGGGTAAAACAAGAAATAAAATGTTTGAAATAAAAAAACTCTGATGACATGAATTAAGAATAGTGTTGTATGAACGGGTTAATTCATGTACGTAATTCTGAGAGCGAACTACGTTGTTCGAATGCCCGTCAGAACATGGCATAAATTTTCAATAAAGGCACATACGTTTAGTTCGATAAAAAAATATCTTGTCTAGCACAGTTGACAGTTGCATTTTCGAAATCGGATGTAACATTACGAATGTGCTGCACCATATTTCGAATTTCATTGTTCTAATTGATTTTAGATTATTATTCTTCATAATTATTCTTCTTTTTCTGCAAAAAGCGAACAAATTTTCCAATTGTTAAATATTAAAACTTTTTTAATGGAATTGAAAACATTTTGTAAGATGTATTGAGAAAACAGACACTACTCATATCAAAAAAATATTGCAAATATGAATGATGAGGTAATTGTGCGCCACGAACTATGCAATTCTAATTATAAATCCAGCATGAAACACATACTACCTATACATATATCTAAATCTTCGACCTGTCAAAAGGAAATACACTAGAAAACAATATACATATGCATTTAAATAGTTTTATCTTCTAATAAGAGAAATGTCCAAATGAATTCTGCAGCGCTTGTCTTTACCCACGCATGCAATTCGTTCTTTTTTGGGACCGACAAATGTTTTACTGCGACGACATTACTTGAATCACTGACCAGACTTGTTAGACTCATTTAGATTGATATCAGGTATTTTGGACGCTTTATACAATTAGCATATCACGGCAGAGTAGACGGGGACCCGGTAAAAATTGCATGCACTTGCACATAGACAGACGTTATTGCTGGTACTGCAAATGTTCTTAGAAAAATGATTTGGGCATACTAAAGAAGCGCAAACGCAAGCAGCATTTATTAATAACAGCGGCTTCATGGACGACCTTTGCATACCAAAACATCTCTCTTGGAGATAGCCGAGGGATGACTGTGACTTCAGGTGATAAATGACCACTAAAAACGACCGTAGGTGGCATTGTGTAGCAGCCGCTCACCGTAGCCCCAGAACAAAGCACAGATCGCTGCTCCAGTGTTCTAATACATCATCATCACCAATGTCGTCGACGTCGCTGTCATCACCACCAACATTTTAGATGATTACCGCAACAAGGCGAGCGGCACATTCGCTTTGATATGTTAAATCTAAGCGACTGGGCTAACCGAAATTGCCCAACTCCCTCTGTCACCATCGCCCGAGCGTTGCCAAGATCGGCGCGCAGAAATTAGCCCATTTGTATGCACACTGCGCTTGTTTAGCGCTCACATAACACACACACACAACAAGCGGGGACTCTGAGCGAGTAGCGTTGTTATGACGACTTGCGCACTTTGTTGTTGCGATCGTCAACTCCAACGAAATTAAATAAAATTATTGTGTGTTGATTATGGTTTTTTAAACTGTTTTAGAGACCAACAAACAAATCATTATAAATTGTGTGCTTATCTGTCGGTGTGTGTGTGTGTGTGCGTTTAAAATATGAGCAGCTAACTGTAGCAACAGCAACAAACGCGACCACAGCAGCCAACCCTGCCCAGCGCTACCAAAGCAACTGGCGAACCGTTCATACAGCCACGGTTCAGATTCTGACAGAACCCAAGTGAATGCGACAGACGAGCGTGCGGTATGATGATATTTAACGCGACAACATCAAAAGTTGTTACTTAAAAATTTGCGCATTCTGATAGCAATCTTCAAGGAGCCAACAACGTGCCTCTTTACCAAAACCGAAAAAGAGTCACTTCGGGTCCCCAACCAACAGTTTGGAGCTGATTCCAGCCGAAACTGAGATGACAAATACCCGTACGAATAAACAGACACAAATAATCAGACGTTCATCAGTGGACATACTTTGTGCTCGACTTAGGAATGCTTAAAACATTTAAGGTTGCCACATTTAAGTGATGAAATATTTCATATGAAATGTTTGCAATTGCCACCAACAAAACAGGTCCGATTGTGCTTTTTATTGTAGGGTTTGTTGGTGATGTTTTTTTTGTGTTTGCGATTTCTTCTTGCGATGCGTGTAGCGACGCCAAAGAGTTCGTCAAAAGCTTGAAGGTGTAAAAAAATTTGTAAAGAAAGCCAAAAACTTGCACCGCTCACAGTGGCTATCAGTAATGGATCAATCATAATGTGTCCCTGCCTGTTTGCTTCCTATCTTTACAGAGTCATGCCGAACACTTGCCATTCAAATGTGACTACTGTGCCCGCCTTTTCAAGCACAAGAGATCCCGAGACCGACATACCAAATTGCATACCGGAGATCGGCGTTATCGCTGCCCGCATTGTGAGGCTGCATTTTCACGAAGGTAAGCATCAGAGCGGTAGCATATTTCGAAATTGTTGAATATGCAGCTGCAAAGAACGTTGATATTAATTTCGAGCATTCTTCGTCTTCTTTTGTTTTTTGTATAGCGACCATTTGAAAATTCACATGAAAACGCACGACAACCAGAAGCCATTCCAATGCACAATATGCAATCGCGGCTACAATACCGCAGCGGCCCTGACGTCACATATGCAGAATCACAAGAAACAAGCGGCGCTCCTGGCAGCAGGCGGCAATCCCCAGGCACTGAATTATAGTCCCCGCTCCACAGGATCCGCATCGAGTAATGGCAGTCTACAGAAGCGACGTTACGCTCTGGCAGTGGGAGGAGACCACAGCCCCAGCCGCCTAGAATTCAGCAAACGTGGTCGATCGTCGTCTTCGAATGTACTGAAATGCACATTCTGTTCCAAATCAGATTTCTCGACTGTGGAACAGTTGAACTCTCACCTCCAGAGTCAACATGAAAAAGAATTAGTCCATTCGATGACACCGCCCTCAAACCCGGTGGCAACTGATGCGGCAAACTTCCAGATGGCCTGCGAGTACTGCACCATGAAGTTCTCCAACATTGCAGCCATGTTCCAGCACATGCGTTCGGCCCATGTGGATCGTCTGACCAGCCCCAACTCATACTTTGAACACTTCAACAGGCTGGCAGCTTCGGGAACTTTCAGCCCGCGACTACTGACCGGACAGCCTCTTCGAAGCTCCGCCAGTGGTGATGACAATAGTATCAAAGAGGAACAACATCTGACAAGTCCAAAGTCTGTGGATGCAAGCGCTCGCCATAGCGAAGACGAGCCCACGGATTTGAGCCAGAACAATCGACGATCGATTACACCCGCAACGACGCCCCAAAAATCGCCTCATGAAACTACGCCTGCCGAAAAGCCTGGTGTATTTTTGTGTAACCAATGCAATGCTGGTTTGCCGGACTTTGAATCATTCCGCAATCATTTGAAATCTCACATTGCCCAAGGCTTGAATTTAGTGTGCCATCACTGTGGCCTAATGCTGCGGGAACAATCGGAATACGAGAGACACGTTATCTCGCATTTTCTCATTACTAATTCAGAGTATAATTGCACGTCCTCGTGTCAGAAATCCTTCGGCAAGCCAGAAGAGCTCCAAAAGCACCTCATCGATCAGCATACGGTAACAATGTATAAGTGTGGACTGTGCAGCGAGATGTTCGAAACTAAAGTAGCCATTCAGGTGCACTTTGCCTGTACACACTCTGCCGAAACGAAGTTGTTTCGTTGCTCTGCATGTATGGATGTGTTCCGCACGGAAAATGATTTCAATATACATGTGAAATCACGACATCAAGCTGTCAATAACAACCCTCCTCCAGTCAACTCACTGCAATGCATGTTCTGTCGTACAGTGTGTTCCTCCGATTTAGAGATGCAGTTCCATCTGGCCGCCCATGCTAGGCAATTCCGTTGTCCATCCTGTCCTGAAACGTTCCATGTTGAATTCCTATTGGATCGTCATATGCAAACCCATCACGGTGGCATGGAACGTCCACCCACCGCACCCAAGGACACTTTCGAAGAGCATTCGCCACCCGTTGCCAACAATGCCATAAGCCCCATGAACTCTCTGTATGTCAATGCACTCTTCGGCAAGGGTCCATTGATGCCGCTGGCCGCTCAAAACAACAACAACAGCATTTTGGATTACAACATGGCTTTTGCGTCGCATCTCAACAAGGGGCTGTTCCCAAATGCAGCCGCCAATAAATTTTACAATCCCCTGCAAATCGACACCAATGCAATGAAGCACTCCGCTTTGATGTACGGACTGTCGCAGCGTTACTTCGACACAAATCGCACGGTTATGGAAATGTACCAACAACAGCAGCAGCAGCAACATCATCTACAAGAGAATACCAAAGCCGGCGGCAATTACTTCGTAAGTCCGAAACAACCCGCCAACACACCCCACATATCCGCGTCGGATAGTCATGTTCGCAACGAGTTAACGTCGTCGCCCTCCACAGGCTTTAGTTGTGGCATTTGTGAGCGCAACGATTTTCGCACCGAGTCCGAGGTGCATTCTCATCGTAAGATAGTTCACAACCTCAAAACTGGAGTAAGCCTGAAGTGTGCCTACTGTTCGGGAAATTTCAAGTCGCGCAGTGAACTGGAACACCACATGAAGACATGTCACAATTCCACTGGCAAACACAAGTGTCTGATTTGCGATGAAATCTTTCCCTCGCCAGCCATATTGGCGGAGCATAAGTTGCAGCATTCCAAAGTTGGGCAATCGGGAAGATGTTCACACTGCTCCAAACCTTTGCCAGATGTGAGCGCATTCAAAGCCCACCTTGCCGACCACAACGCGGAAGGCCAAATGCCCGTCCAGTGTATATGTTGTCGTCAAACCTTACATTCTGAGTTCGAAATTGGCCTGCATGCAAAGTAAGTATTCCGTTTTAAGGGAACCCCCCCCCCCCCCCCATTCCCGATTTTATTTTTTCAAGATTTTCAATGGACTGGTAAATCAATACCAATGCTTGTTAAGGTTTGTAACTTTGCACATATATAATTGAAGATTTAAAAGAGAAGAAAAATAATTTACAAAAAAATTTTGTTATTGTTTTGTTGTTGTTTTTTGTAATTAAAGAAAATTCCTTATTTTTGATGGCGGGCATGATAACTCCTCACTGGAACATCGGAATCCGAAAATTCCAACGGTGTTAGAAAGAGTACTCTCGTATGAACTAGGATTATTGACTTCGCTCTAAAATTAAGAAAATGGTGGCCCTTTGAAAAAATATTTTTGAAAAATCGCGGATTTTTTACCAAAAACCAAGTTAAAAAATAAGATCTTCACCGATTGGCTTTATCCTAGTTCATACGAGAGCTATACACTCCCAGAGAAACGTTGCAAAATTTGGAACCGATTGGATTATTAGTTTTTGAGTTATCGTGCCCGCCATTCGCAAAAAAAAAATTTAAAGTTTGAGAAGCCCTTCAGCCGTCACTTGATGCTGACACAATAAATCGGATATATCTTCAACAGTTCTTGAGATTTTCACTTGAAATTTTGTAGAGACATTCTTTAATCAGTGTAGATTCGAATTATATCAACAAAAATTTTGACCCCGAGGACCCCTTAAGGACGGCAAATGTGTATTGGTTCACTGGCCAAATTATTTTGGGCAAATCTGTAGTTGATTGAGGTTTCACTTTAAATGTTTTTGTGTTCTTTTTTATTTAAAGATTCCATGTAAAAGCATCTAATGTGTCGGAGAACGTCTGTGCTCTGTGCCTTGAACCAATTTCAAGTTCGCCCTCCGAAGCCAAGGTCTGTGAGAAATGCTGTCGCAAACACAATCTCAGCAACAAGTTCAAACAACAGCGCGAGCAATACGAGCAGCGATCCAATTCCGACGCTAGACAGTACGTCGCCAACCGCTGTAACCTATGTAAAATGATTTTGCCTCACGCTCAAAAGCTGCAGGAACACTTGGTCGAGCACACATTTGCTGGATGTGAAGATCGTGGCTTCAACTGTTATATTTGTTCATCGGTCTTTACTGCGCCTGGCGGCCTATTAAGCCACATGCTGGATCATGGAACCAACTCCAAACCCTATGACTGTAATTTGTGCCCCGAAAAGTTCTATTTCCGCGCAGAACTCGATCATCACCTAATCGATCATGATATAAGAGAAATGGCCCCGCTGAAAAATGAATGTGATTCGGTGGCACCTCAACGGGAGCATGGCGCCGCACCGGAAACCACCGCCCCCGAACCTACAAGGCCAGAGAATGTACAACTTTTAAATGAAGTAAAACAGGAAATAATCGAAAGTGATCAACATAATCAAGCCGAAGATGATGAATATATTGAGGTGGAGAAATTGCATGACAACAACAATCAAGTGTCGGCCAAAGAGCGGGATGAAGACGATGTGAACAAATGTTCTGAGACGTCTCAAGAGAATACAGACTCGTAAATGGACCGCAAAGTATTAGTTACATGCCACTCTTTATTAGTATTACCCCACATACACACGTACATATAAAAGGATTCCCCTTACTACTTAGCAACTAAGCGCACTCAAACAAAGTATTATGGATTGCATTTTAAATAACAATAACAGTATTCTTCTCACGCATTAGTTTACCACTTAATCATATACAAACACACACGTAAATACATACATATGGAATATATACTACATACAGAATAGATGATTTACACACAGACACACACACACCTAGGCACTTATTTATTTTTAGCGAATAGTTACGACGACAGTATTATTGTGATAAGAAGAATAGAATGTCTGACATTGACAACAGTTAATTTGTTTGTATTTTTCTTTTTTTTTCTTTTTTTTGGGAAAATTGTTATTACGAATTGTTCACCTGTTTGTTTCAATTTCGTGCTCATTTAGAATTAAAAAAAATAGATTTTGTTTGTAAGGCATTAAATAAATTGTGGAGAAACGTTTTCATTTCAATACACACACAAACGTAGATTTATACTTGTAAATATTAAATATCTATGAAATCAACTATGAACATATTGCATACATATATTATATTTATTCATTACATAACCACCACTACAAACAATCTAATTGTAATTTAACAGCATTCTTTCGAATAATAAAATCATAAACTAAAACAATATTTACATTTGTCGTTTTTTATTATCCTGCAATGCTGTGTTGCTATTTGAAATTTCACTTCGCATAAGAGGTTATATTGGACCCAATTTTTATTATTGGTATTTCGTTCGTCACACATCAATGGGCTTATGTGTTAAAGTAGAAACAAAGTTTACGAGAAAATATTACATACTAACTGAATTAAAAACCAGTGAGCGGAGCAGTATAGTCGGACGGGGCCGACCATACGATACCCTACACAACTACCACGGAACTCAAATTTTCTGCTGATGTTTATTCTGAGCCTGGGCAATATTTCGTGATTTTTGCACCCTCTTGCCCGATTAGAGGTAACCAGCTCCTCTTCCTCACACTGACATATTTTCCGAATATTACGCGTATTCAGTACAGCTATTGTCCAGATTCCCTTCACCGTGGGTTGTGTTGTGATGTTCGGCTTTCATTTGTGGTCTATAGATCGACTCGAAAATAACACAAAAAATTAAGTTTTAGGTCCAATTCATTCCAAAATTATAACCTGATCATCACCGAAAATGATAGGCGTTGTCCTTGACCATAACTGGAACCTCATGAAACATTTCAAAGCGATCAGTGCTATAGTTCCGCTCTCTAGAGTGATAATGGGTTACTAAATAATATAGGAATACGGAGATACCTGTGAATATTTAGGTGTAACTCCCACATCCGAGCACATACAACAATATAATTGGTATTAATTTAAAGGTCAACCACTGCTCTTGGATATAAACTTCTCGGGTTATCTATCAACTTCTCGGGTCTATGTCCTTCAGGGGTAAATATATACGCTATAGAATACAAATTTTGTCATTTTTCACACAAAAGTCAAGGTCCATTTGACCCGCTAAATATTGACCGATCTTTATCAAAACAGGCATGCTTATTCTTTGGCCCGATCCCCTTTTCCTTGCAAAATTTCACGATGTTCGGGCCATTATTGCGGCCTCTGGAGCGATCAGAAAAACCGACAAAAATTTAGTATTTTGTCCATTTCATCCCCTAAATATTAGCCGATCTTTCCCAAAAACAATAGGGGTCTTCATTGGCCAGAACCCATCCTACATGCAAAATTTCGTGAAGATTGGTCCATAACTGTGGCCTGTATCGTGTTTACAAATTATAATGGACAGACGGACGGACGGACACACATGTCTAGATCGACTCAGCTAGTCGAGATATGACGATCGGTATACTTAAAGGTGGGTCTAGGACCAATATTTCGCGGCGTTACAAACTTTTGGGGCTGCACAAAGCTATAATACCCTGACAACATAGTTGTGTAGGGTATAATAACATTCATTGAGCATATAAGGCGTTGGAAATGTCCATTAAGATGTTGTAGGGATTCTCGATAAACTGTTCTACAGACGTTTTAAATACAACAATTAGGACAAGCTAGTTTTATATACCTTGGTACCGCCATAAATAAAACGAATGGCATCAGTTTTGAAATTCGAAGAAGGATTGTGATGACCAACAGATGCTACTATGGTCTAAGTAAGCAGTTTAGAAACAAGGCCACCTCCCGCTAGACCAAATTCACATTTTACAAGACGCTGATACTACCCGTGCTGTTATATGGATCTGAAGCATGGGTATTTGCGCAAGCAGATGAGGCAGCTCTTAGGGCGTTTGAGAGAAAAATTCTCCGAAAGATCTATGAGCCGATCTGCGTCGACGGTGAATATCAGCGTCGAATGAACCACGAGCTTTTTTAAACTCGGCTTATGGAACAACCGTTCTGTAACAAGCCAACTAAGTACGTAAGTAAGTAAGTAAGACAAGTTAGAGGTTTGTAGAATAAAACCCCTGCCCCGTGCTGTAGCACAAAGTGTTGATGAAATCTCAGGTTTGTCCATTTCCCGACGTTCACTGTATTTTGCATAAAGACGTGTGTCACTTAACACAAGCATTCAAGCCGATCACACAAGAATTCAACCTAATAACGTCGTGTCATTGATCCGAAATGCTATCCATATCTTGAGTTATGATTCTCGCATCTGGGGTCACCTAAACCCCAAGAGTTACTGTTGAGAAGCCTTACATTAATCAACGTGTGATTTTTCTCTGCGGCTATGGTCCGTCGTTGGCATTGAACCTTACTTTTTATACCCTTTACCACAAAGTGGTGCAGGGTATTATGTCATTGTGCATATGTTTGTAACAGGCAAAAGAAGCGAGACAGGCGCATGGTTCCTTTTGAGAATATGAATAGAATCACTTTCTTAGTCCACGTATTTTTGTGAACAAAGTACGGGTCGAACTTATAATCTGATTTTAATGAAATTTGGCACAAGCCAGTTATTTGGCCCAAGGGTTCAGATTTAGATATAGCTCCCATATATATTTTCGTCCGATTTTATCTATATAGTGACCAAACTCCCAATATTTGTCCGATTGATACACAATTTTGCACCGCGTACTGAATAAGGACCAGGTAGATGTCTGTGAAGTTTTATTGAAGTCGGGACAGATTAAGATATAGCTCCCATATATAATTTTGTCCGATTTAGGTAAATGTTGCACATAGCTCTCAAGGTTTGTCCGACTGGGTCAAAATTGTGCACACCGTACTAAATTAGGTCCGGTTTGATGTCTGTGCTTTTGCTCGATTTCATACAAATAGTCCGAATTTTGAACTATCCTTACTGGGTTGATAATGCGGTTCTATCAAAATTAACAGTGGGATTGTGCTATCGATAGACGATTAATGATTTATTATGGTCTAAGTTAAATAGTACTGATCTATGTAACGCCTACTTTCAACAAGACGACACTATATGCCACACAAGTATCGAAAGCGTTTCTCTTTTACGGAAAAGTTTTCGAACAGTTGTTAGCTCACGAAGAGGTGATTACAATTGGCCTCCTAGATCTTGTGATTAAAAAGCTACAGACTTCTTCCTTTGGGCTACGTTAAAGATTAGCCCAACATCCGTTCAAAACCTCGAGATAGATACCATATCAGAAATATCGATATGGGTGTTTTTTAACATAGCCGCCATATTGATATCGTGGTATAATAATAAAGCTAGATTTAGTTGACGAAATTAAAAAAATACAGAGTTCACTGCAATATCCGATTATGTATATATATTTAAAAAAATATGATGAACAAAAGCATCGAATTTGGTGCAAAGTGTTATTTATAAAATGTCGTTTACATGAACATTGATTTGACAATGATACACATTTTTCGCACCAATGAATATCACACATCCAATCAGTTCAGTAGTTCATTCTTTGATGTATTTTGGCTATCGCCTTAAATATTTCGAACACGTAGCAACTTAACAAATTTCCAAGAGGAGATTCATCACACTTGGTGATTAATTCCATCATCATAAACGAGTCTTCTAAAATGAAAACAAAGCATACCTATAATTTTTATGATCTGATAAGGAACAACTCGAATCGAATATTTCGGAACTATAACAAAAACATTAATTCCGTAAAAAATTAAGAAAAAAAAAAAACACTGATTAAAAACTTAAATTCTGTTTCCTTGAATAGCCTTGTCGTAATTGCGGCACACAATTGTCCCAAGATTCTACACACAGGCGTACACAGTTGTACTGCGATAGGTTTGTTTGTTTGTTTGTCTGTCTGTATTTTATGGCAAATTTTCATTGTCCCTGGTCACGTCACGTAACAGTAATAAAAAAGGTGCTCGCTCATGCGCAATGTTTTGACTTGTTCTTGTGTTTATTCCTTCTGTTATCATTTAACTTGAATTTTATTTTGATGACAAATGGGAGAAACTTTATTAAATCAAGTTATAAAACATCTTGAAGACCTGTAAACTCTGCAAACTGGAGCTGTGGGCACATTTTATTATAAAAAGCCATTCGTAATAATTTAAAGATGATCTGAAAGAGGTAACCTTATATTTTGGGAGGGTACAGCTTCCGTAACATTCCAGATTTTACAATCATTTAATTTGTTAATATATTTATGTATACACACATATATGTGGTGGGGTTGTAGGAAAAATTATCTTGCACATTTGTACTCTTTATATGACCGCCACTGTATTTTAGAGCGGATTGTTTAAATACAATTGTTATCTGTATGAAATCAAAACTTTTGTATACACAAGTTGGCCTCTGATTTTTTTTATAATTTTCTTGCAGTGACATCAGTTTTCAAGACCAGTAGTTTGATCTGAATGGTGCTCTCCACAATTATGTTTTGTTTTATATTTTCATATGACAACACAACACACGTTCAAGGGCGTGTACTACAAATTTTATATATGGGAGCGAAGATATGTCATGTCCTAAGCGAATGTGTTTTTAGAT